AACAATGTCCAATGCTGCAGCAAAGGGGAAACAGATGTCGGCAAGGTATGCCATCCAATAAAACTCCTGATTACACAAGTGGAAAGAATCCCTACCTCACTCTAAGGCGGCCATGGGAAAACTGGACCAAGCCTTTTTTTTTTTTTTTCTCAAGCTTAAGAAATGAATATGTTACGTGTTAAAGACCATATAAACTGTATGCGATTGTGTATCCTGTGCACATTTTGATTTGTTACAATTTCTTTTTGAAAGAAGTCTCACCAAGGCTGCATTTATTTGATCTGAAAAATACAGTAAAAACAATAATTTTGTGAACCACACAAGATGCCTGATGGGCCTCCATGAAGGTCCATGGGTGTGTTTTGTGTCTCCGCTCTGCATTGGTGCCATAGAAACACCATTTTGTCACGTCATGTGTCGACGGCTTTGTGAAGGAGGTGGGAAAAACCAAACACTTTTGTAGTCTGGGGCCCCTCCTCCGTTGAAAACCCTGTCAAGGCCTTTTCAGAAGACAGGAGGCAGCTTGAAATGCATGTTCATATCACCTCCTTTGGGAAAAAAAGTATTGTGGTGGTACTGTGTTATAAGTTCTAGTGTCAGATGCAACTCTTAAGATGCGTCAAAAGTCCCGGGCCTGGCCTATCACATCGTGCTTCTTTCCTTCATGCACTGCTGTAGGCCTCTAACCTTTCTCCAGGGTTGAGAAAAGTCTGCATCCCGCAGGAAGGCGCCCGGTTTAAACCCTCGAGACGTCTGTGTGTTAGGAGGAGTGTAAGAAAAATGCACCATTGTGGTTTCAGCCCACTGTCTGTGTCTGTTAGCATTCCTCCAGAGTGTCAGTGCCTCCGCTGTCTCAAACTGTGAGGAAAGAGGTTTTCACAATAAGTTTAACTTTTCCAAGTAATAAAACACCTCAATCCATCCACAAGACCACCTTCTCTGACCGAGACAGAGGCAGTGTTCAGAAGGCAGTGCTAACATAGTGCATGCTGCATACTGTTCAGAATATACCGTCTACCACTTTTTTTATTTAAAAAGTAGTGTGTATATGCATTGTGGAACAATAAATGTTTCACATAACAATGTTACATTTCATGTTTATTTTTTTTTTATTCTGCTTGACCTCATTACATATCTCTGAAATAAGTGATTATTTTACATTTAAAATCTGGTGTGGTTTAAAAATGTCTTTTAATGTTTAAAGGGTTAATTCACCCAAAAATAGTTCACCCATCCTATCCTCTGCACTTCCATGTTCGTCAATACGTCATGCGTCGGGTCAGAGGTCACTCTTCTGCCGGAACTAGACTCGCAATGGCCGTTACCGGAAGCCAGTGATTATAGTTTTTAAATTTATAAATATGGATATTTTTTTTTTACAAAAAAACATCGCTTCGCTTCAGAAGGCCTTTATTAACCTTTATCAAAGGCCTTTATCAAAATCTCAGTTACTATTCACTCCCATTATAAAGCTTGGAAGAGCCAGGGTATTTTTTTATATAACTCTGATTGTGTTTGGCTGAAAGAAGAAAGTCCTATATACCTAGCATGGCTTGAGGGCAGTGTTAATTTTGTCATTAAATTTTGATTTAGTTTTAGTCTTAGTCTTTTGACTAAAATGCCATTTAGTTTTAGTCATATTTTAGTCATCTGAATTGTTTTAGTTTTAGTCTAGTTTTAGTCGACGAAATACAATAACATTTTAGTCGACTAAATCTACAGTAGATTTAGTCGACTAAAATATAATGGGTTTAGTTCAATTGTAAATGCGTTAATTTAGAATTTCTCTAAAATTGCCAAACCCATATACTCCCGGAGAAAACATCTATTAACCTATTAGTATGAATGATTTTTAAGTTTGAACATGCAATACAGATACAGATTTAACTGCTGTTACTTAAAAAATATCTTAAAATGAAATAAAACCACTTTTCCTAAAGTACAACACAGTCTTCTTTACAATGAATGATATATTCATTCCTTATAACTACTTACACATCATTCTTTATTCTTTCAAGCAGACATATTTATTTGTATGAATTAAATATAATTAATCCTTATTAAAGCTATTAACAAACAGTGAATGCTTTTCTCTTTTTCTTTTGTTGCTTGATCAAAATTAAGGACACGGACCGCATTAGGTTTATTGCCACTGTCACTTTAAGACGTCGGATCATGTCCAATGACATGCGGATACAATTGCACTGATGCACATCCGACACACTCACAGTTTAAGACATAACCAGCATAGTTTACATGAATACTCTCCAAAAAGGACATTTAGACATACTGTTGTGTATTTCTCCATTCAGACACGAAAGAGAGCTCAATTCAGTAGCCTACTCGCGCGCTGTAGGTGTATTGTGCATGACTGCACGCTTCGGGTTAGGTGTGTGCGCACAGAAAACCGCACCGAATAGAGCTCTTTTTTGCATCGTCACTCTTATTCAGAGATCTATATGTCTGCTCTACTCATTCTCCCAGACGTTCACATTTTTTAACGTTTTATGACCGCGGGGTAGATCACGTTACAGTAGCCTACAAATGTGCGCATCTACCACACACGCAGGACATCAGTTCTGACGGATCGCTTCCCAAATCGTCACTATCTAACATTTTCGTCTAGTTTTTATTCGTTGACGAAAATGTCAATAGATTTTTGTCATAGTCTTTGTCATTCAAAACTAGGTTTTATTTAGTTATCGTCTCGTTTTCGTCTGTGAAAAAATGTCGTTGACGAATAATTTTCGCCGTTATTTTCGTCAACGAAATTAACACTGCTTGAGGGTGAGTAAATTTTGAGAATTAAAGTTTTTGGGTGAACTGACCCTTTAAGTAAAGAGAGAAATGTTCAAATTGTATTTTCTGTTAATTTGTCACTCTCGAAATGGAAGTGTTGGGATACAGTTGTAGTGCTTCTCTGGGTTACACAGTACTTAATGCAGTTTGCTCTGCTCTAAATCAAAATTTTTGTAAATATAATAGGTTATCTGGATTTTGCACAATATCAGAGCTTCATGCTTGCTTTTTTTCCAAGTAGCACGTTCTCCCAAGTTCAAAATTTGTGGGAATATTATAACAAACAAACTTTATTAATAATGCCGGACTTTTAATTATAAACAAGCCCAAAATACACAGAGACTCTTATTTTGGTATGTATATGCTTTACTTTTTCCGGCTGCAATTTACAATGTGTTCATTAAGATGTTTGTTATACCATTTAAGATATTTAAGACTTTTTTATAAACTTAAATTTCATAAAGCTTCATAACTTTTTAAGGTAAATGCATTTTACATTTCTTACCTAGTCGCACAAACTGTTGCACTGTCAAGCCCTGAGTATACATACTTCCTTCTGCTAAAATAATACTCGTACTGCGTTCTTATGCTACTTCCAACATAGTATTTGCCTTCTCGAGGGGTGGCAAATGTACCAGCTTCCCTCCCAACCCCCACGAGATTACACCATATTGCCAAAATTACTAAGAAAGGAAGGTGCTAATTTAAAATAATGTGCACTTATTTCTTTTCCATCTCTCTTCTTACTTTCTTCACGGAGGAAAGGCAGCCACTCCGCAGGCCTGCATTACAGAAATAAATCAGGTGGACAGCCCTCCCTGGCAGCCGCTGGCAACCGCCCCAATCCCAAAACCCCCTCCACCGGTCCTCACAGGAAGAACTCTGGGTTGGGAAAGACAGCGCACAGGAAGTCTTTGTTCGAAGAGCTACTTTACCCAGGAACAATATGCTGCATTAATACGCCCGTCACTCAATCTTGACCTGCTCGTTTGAGCGTTTATAATCTCATTCATCATTCAGGGAGAAGACATGATAGAGTAAACTGTCATGGGTTTCATTCTGCAAACAAAGACATCTGGCTGCAGGCGGTTTTAAAATAGTAAAAAAAAAACTTTGCATTTCTTAGTGTCTGATTCCACAGGTATAGGATGTCAAAAACTCCCAACAACTTTTGCAACATAAAAAGCATGGATGCTTTCCAGTAATGACTTCATATTGAGTACATTATGTGTATTATCAAAAATAATGATAATAAAAATGAACGCTTTTATCAACTCATAATATTAGTTCAGTGAAGTGGTGAAATGGGGGTTTCAGTCATTGGAAAACGACATTGCAAGTGTTTGAACTCAGATCAGTTGCAGGCCTTCGTAATAAGCCCCGGAGAAAGTCGGTAGCTTTCGAGGTTTTCCTCATTTCAGTTTTCGACAGTTTTTTCCAGAATGTATTTGATTAGGTGGGTAGCATTTACTGCAACTGACACCCGTTTGCTAAATGTGAAAAATGGAAAGCCGTCTATTTTGAGAAGTAGTAATGTCAGGACTGTTTCCAGAAACAGTAATTGCAACCTTTTCAGAAACAAACCCAATTCCCAGCAACCCACTTGGTTTCAACCTCCCATCTGTCACTTTCTCTCTCTCTCTCTCTTTTTTTTTTTTTTTTTTTAAAGATTCAGGCATGTCCTGGCTCCACTCCCTATATCAGTTTGCGTTATTTTCCTCCCTGTAATGCAACCCTTGTGACTGGAATCTTATTTTGTCACGTTCACTGGAATAGGAATGATTGTGTAGCCTTTCTTTAGTGAAAAAAAAAAGTAGAGATTCAAAGAGTCATGCTCAAGCTTGCGTACTCTGTAATGACTTAAAATAGCTACTCTTTTGGCAGTTACATATTTGGTTGGGGATTTTTTTTTTTCCACAATTGGGAAATCCTAGCTGGTTTGGATTAGGATACTGCAATTATGGCAGTTCAAATATCTGAGTATTTGGAGATCTGTCCAATTGTGCATGTGGTGTACAGCTGTTTGGCGAGCGTAAACAGATTCAGGCTGATTTGTTAGTTTGTTTCCTGTTTTGTGCTGTTAATTGAAATCGTTTGATCTGACCACACGTACAACTGTCAAATTTTTTTTAAAGGGATAGTACAGTGAAAGTGAATGGTGACAGGTGATGAAACCAAATTTATTCTTTTTTTATTCACAGGTCATAAATGTCGATGGCACTAATAGGATGACCATTCTAGAGGACAAACTACCTCATATCTTTGGTTTTACGCTGTTGGGCGAGTATATCTACTGGACTGACTGGCAGCGGAGGAGCATTGAAAGAGTTCACATTGCCAACACCACCCGTGAGGTCATCGTCGAGCAACTTCCTGACCTCATGGGTCTCAAAGCCACAAAAGTCACAGAGACCTCTGGTAAGATCTCTCGCTTTTAAAAATATTCTGACTTGAAATGGTTTAACCTTACTTAAAATGGTCTAATAGTCTTCCTGAAAGGTACATGGAAAATCAGGACAGTGATTATATTAATTATATTCTTTATATAATAAAGTAAAAAAAATATATATATATAATAAATATTATATTTTTGTATATTATTTGAATGTTTATATTTCAGTATTTTATATATATGTGTGTGTGTTTGTATATGTATATGTATATGTATATATATATATATATATATATATATATATATAGAGAGAGAGAGAGAGAGAGAAATAAAAAACTTTCAAATAATTAACAATAAAAATATTACATTTATTTATTATGTTTCATTTTATATATATATATATATAAAGTTATTGTGAATAAAAATGTTATAATTTTTTAATATTGAAATTATATTTATATATAATGTTAATAAAATACAATTAATTAGATGTATAATACCAATGTTGTCATTAACTAAAACTATAATATAATTTTCGCCAATCGAAAAATGCTGAAGTAGATAAGGTATTTATAGGTATTTAATAAAATAAAAATATTAGATAAAAACAAAGGAAAATTTGAAATATTTCCTTAATTTGAAGTATTAAAATTACTAAAGCTAAAACTGAAATAAAAATAAATTAAAGCTACATTCAAAAATGGGAAAAAAACAAACACATAAAAATGACAAAAGCACTTAAAGTTACTAAAACTAAAATAAAATTAAAAATAAAAGCTATTTCAAAAGAATAATACAAAAATAATACTAAAATATAAATACTAAAATAACACTAATAAATGCTAATTGTAATAAATATAATTGTTTATTATTTGATATTGAAGGCAATATTTTGTAATATTTATTTAATTTACAAATAATCTATTGAAAAAAAAGAAACGCTTCCTGTTTCCGCTAACAGGAGTGCTTCAAACAGCTTCAGTATATCACTGAGATCAATGCATGTCCATGAAGCTGATGGCTAGATCTCCGTTTGTGTGTGTTCAGGCACTAACGGCTGTGCGGAAAACAACGGCGGCTGCAGTCACCTGTGCTTCCATCGGCCTCAGGGTCTGACCTGCGCCTGCCCCATGGGCCTGGAGTTGCTGAGTGACCTGCAGACTTGTGTGGTTCCAGAAGCTTTCTTGCTCTTCACCAACCGCGCTGACATACGCAGCATCTCTCTGGGCACCAACAGCAATGATGTGCCCATCCCGCTCACCGGGGTGAAGGAGGCCTCCGCACTGGACTTTGATGTTTTAGAAAATAGGATCTACTGGACCGACGTCAGCACCAAGGTATGGACTACGTTTGTGTTCATCATGATTTTAACTTGGTAATTTAGTGCGTCTCACCTCGTTTTAAAACAGAACGTTGTGGCGGTGAGTGATTCTGACATTTTGAGCGTATGATTGTACATTAAAAATCAAAGTCATTTTAAAACCCAGGATTATACAAAGTTCTCTGTATCAGTGGAGGATGATAAAACGATGCCATCAGCTTCTAACCCAAAGCAGCTGTTGAGCTCAGATATAAAACGTCAGAGGGGAAAGACGTCCAAGGTTTCACCTCAAAAGATCTGAAGAAGCCTGTCTTTTTGTATTTTGTGAATTATTATATTTGTTTAGCATTTTTTTCAGAAAGGCTGTTATCTTTCCTTGTAAATCAGTAAGAATGAATAAAAGAAAATATTCAGAAACATTGTTGTGCTGGTGAAAACTAAAACAATCTTGGACCAGCATGGAAATTCTTCAGCTGGACTTTTAGGTTGTTGAGACAAGAAAACCTGTTGAAAAAATGTTTTAAAGTGTCTTTTACAATGCAGCATTAAAGCATTAGCAGCTAACCACACAGCCTGTTGGACTAATTATTTTTCGAATGTTACACTTGTGTTATAAGGGGCTTTCGCACCGGGTTGTTCTAGGAACTTAGTTCTAGGAAATAGCCACCAGGGTGGTTCCCCGAGAACTAAATGTTCCCCTAGGGCCTTTTTCCTGGTTGCATTCGCACCGCCAGTAGGAACTCTGAAGTGACTCTGGATTCACTTTTATTTTGCCGGTGCTGAGAATGCCAGAGCCCACAGCGCTCACATTCTCCATTAATTTATTCGTGTTCGTTCGGTTCAGCCCATCAGCATACACTTACGTCACTGATAGTTCCTATCGTGCTGGGATAGACTCTACTCTTAAGTAGGAGCTAATTTAGTTCCCCCGAAAAGGAGTTCTGAGAACTAAAATCCTTCCCAGTTCCTGTGGTGCGAACACGCCAAAAAGTGGGTACTTCTGCCAACAGTTCTAGGAACTAAGAAAAGGTTCCTCCAGTGCAAAAGCCCCTATATATATATATATATATATATATATATATATATATATATATATATATATATATATATATATATATGTGTATGTATATTTTATGTAAATATGTTGTTGTTTTTTCAATGTTGTTATTTTAGTTCATTTTTAACAAAACAAATATTTTTTTCTTAAATGTATTTAAGAATCTTGTAAAGAAACAATAAAACCATAAGAATGCTTATGATAGAATATGGTTGTTGATAGAAGATGCTTCTAATCTAGCATAAACCTCACTAATCAATAGAGTGGAAATTAAAAACATTGTGTTTTATAAGGAATTGGCTGTTATTAATGCTTTTAGCATTAGTATTTAGTCACTTGATTACTTTTCTGTTTCAGACTATCAGCAGAGCCTTCATGAATGGCAGTTTGGTTGAACCAGTCATTGAGTTTGGCCTGGACTACCCTGAGGGAATGGCTGTGGACTGGATGGGTCGAAACCTCTACTGGGCGGATACCGGCACCAACCGAATTGAAGTGGCCCGTCTGGACGGCCAGTACCGACAAGTGCTGGTCTGCAAAGACCTGGATAACCCTCGTTCTCTTGCTCTGGACCCTGCCAATGGGTAAGATCACTGGCTATAAAGTCTGTCCTGCTCTAACTCTGACTCTTGTAGCTACAATTGTGCCCTTTAAATTCATTGCATACCAAGTACTTCAACCTAGTGTCTGCCATCCTGCACATTCACTGCACTGCATACATAGTGTTCACCCATCCGTCTGTGATGGTTAACCATAGGCTTCCTACATTTTTTAGCCCTCTGGAAGTATGCTAATCGATAATTACCACTACTTAAATATCTGATTTAACTCTCATACTCAAACACAGACACGCTTATTGGTATTACAGTGCTTCCTCAGGGCATCAAGTTGTATGTGTGGCAGAAGACGAGTGCCAACATGCCACAGCCCCTGCGTGTGGCTCAGAGGAGTGAAGTCATGTCCTCCAGCGCCCAGCAGGCATTCCTGTGGCTTCTGAGGCACGACTGGCTCTATTAGCCGACACATTCTTCAGCATTGTCTCTTCTTACCTTAACACTGAGAGGTGTTGACTCAGTTGACTCTTAGCCCAGTGGTGTAATGAGGGGGTTGAGGGATTGGTCTCGTGTGCTTTTCACTGCTTACTTACCCAATGGAGGGAAAAGTAACATTTGTGTTGTTAAACGTAGGAAGCTTAGCCCTGCTATTCCTTTTCCTTTAATTTGTTTTTGTTAGATTAAATATTTATTAACTATTTATTTATTTAGTTGTTAGATAAATATTATTAATTTATTGTTTATTAATTAATAGTTTTAAAATAAAATAAAGTTTGTTTATTAATGTATGGTTAATAAATCATACATTATATAGCAAATAAAATGACTAAAAATTAATAGTATGTATATATATTTTTTTATGATTTTTTTTTATATATTTTTAGTATCTGTAGCTAGATTAAACATTTATAAATTAAATAAGTAATATTTTTAGTATCATGTATAAATAAACATTAACTTCATTATCTAATAATGACTATTTTATCATTTTTATTCATGCTTAAATATGAAATAAATATAATTAACTATATTAATTAAATAGCAAATAAAATTACTAATACATTAATAGTACATGTATTTTTATTATTTTATATTTAGTTTTATTTGCTGTAGTCATTAATTAATTCATTGTATTTTCATTAATTAATTTATAAATTAATAAATATTGAAGTTATTTTTAAACATTACTTTTAAATAAAAATAAATATAAGTAACTTCTGTATCAAATTGAGTATTTTAATCATTTGTTATTAATGCTTTTTTTATTAAATAAATAAATAATATATTCTATTATATATATATTTTATTTATATTGTTTATATATCTATAATTATCATATAATTATATTTATGATTAATAAATGAATAGCTTTATTTATTTATTTATTTATTCTTTTATATTTAGTAATATGTCTTTAATAATTTATAGAATGTTTCTTTGTTTTAGTGTAGGGTTCTTGTTAATATCAACATGCCCAGGAACAGCAGATCAATATAAATAAAATTCGTCAATGTGATGGCTGGTAAAGTTTATTCTAGTTTTGTTAGATATGCAGTCAAGTAAATGATTTGGGTTTGCAGGTACATGTACTGGACTGAATGGGGAGGTCGTCCCAGGATAGCCCGCGCTCACATGGACGGTAGTAACATCGTGACTTTAGTAGACAAAGTGGGCCGAGCCAACGGGCTTACGATTGACTACATCGACCAGCGGCTCTACTGGACAGACCTGGACACCTGCATGATTGAGTCTACAAACATGCAAGGTGACAAATCATAGCTTTTGAAAACCATAAATGCCTCTTGAATTATAGACAGTATTACACCATCCTACCTCCTTTATTAAACTATAAAAGCATTGTCCTCAGGTTTGCAGAGGGAGATAGTGGCCGACGATCTTCCTCATCCTTTTGGCTTGACCCAGTATCGCGACTACATCTACTGGACCGACTGGAACCTGCGCAGTATTGAGCGGGCGGACAAGCGCAGTGGCTTGAACCGAACCGTGGTGCAGGGGCACCTGGAGTATGTCATGGACATCCTGGTTTTCCACTCCTCTAGACAAGATGGCGCCAACGAGTGTTCGCAGAACAACAGCCAGTGCGCCCACCTCTGCCTAGCATCCCCCTCTGGAGCCCAGTGCCGCTGCGCTTCCCACTACATCCTGGAGGCAAACGGACGCAACTGCAGCTGTGAGTTTGGCGTAGAGGGTTTTAAAGGGGACATATAGAGTGTTCAGTCTCGCTACATGTGTATCATTGTTCCTCCTTTGGCTTCTAATTATTTTTGCACTCAACAATTTATGCAAGTAATTACTTTTTTTTTTTTTTTTGCCTTGACAATATTTTTGCTAAATGTATTATTATTATTATTATTAGTATTAATAGTAATAATTGTAATTATAATAGTTATTTTTTATTTAAATATTTTATAATTATAAATATTATTGCATAAAATCCAATCAATGCATTTCAATCAGGGTTCAACAATAAGGACAATAATATTAAATAATAATAATTTATCATTATTATTTATAGAATGTTTTTATGTATACAACTACAAATTATTATTGTTTTATATCATTGTTATTTACAAAATGTTTATGTATACTACTAGTACTACTAATTATTATTTGTTATTGTTGAACCCTGATTAAAATGCACTGTTTTGAGTTTTTATGTTTTAACACCCATCAGGGCTTAAGTAATCTATGGTCTTTCAGCCATAAAGTTCACTAGGTTTTACTGACATTAAAGTGAGTCATGGGTTTTAAGATGCAGTTGGCAGATTGAAATGGCATTAGAAAACAATGGCTCCCAGCCATGCAAAACTCAGTCATATGCATTTAATTCCTTATAAGCTTAAAAATGACTGAACTTGGATTAAACAAGCACGCCAGGGAGCCCGGTGAGAGCATTTGGCCAAGAGTGCAGAGCTCTTGGCAATGCTAGTATGTTTCTACATTTTTAGTCCCTCTTGTTTCTTCATTCTTTCATTGCCTGGAGGGAAAGGCTGATTGCATTTAGTTATTATGATTGCGTTTAGCTGACCTTCACCTTCTGATCAGAGGAATGGAGCTGGCTTTGAATTGTCCATTGTTGACCTGTGCTCTTATAACTTAGTTTTCATTCCTTATTCTTCTCACCTCCCTGTTGTTTTGCTCAACAGCGCCCTCTAGCTTCCTGCTCTTCAGCCAGAAGAGCTCTATCAGTCGAATGGTACTGGGAGAACAGAGTCCAGACATGATTCTACCAATCCACGTTATGAAGAACTTGCGTGCCATCAGCTTTGACCCTTTGGAACGCCTGGTCTACTGGGTGGATGGCCGACAAAACATCCGCAGGGCCCGGGATGATGGCACTCAGGTGACGGTTCAATCAAAGAACATTGATGTAACTTGATTATAATACTCAACTGCTCTGATTGCAACAAATATTTATTATTTAATCAAATATATACATTTAGTTAAAACAATAATAATGATAATTGATATTATTATCATCATCATCATCACTGTCCCAAAATGAAGATAATACAAAAATGATTTTTTTTAAAAAGAAATATATAAAATAAGTGTGTGTATGTATGTATATATATATATATATATATATATATATATATATATAGTTGTGTTGATAACAAATGTTATTAATAATATAAATATTATTAATAATATGAATATATTAACTATTATTATATTATGGATGATAATAATATTTACTATTTAAAACCGTTAATATTATTATGTTGATTATAAATGTTGTTGTTATTAATATAACAATTATTAATAATATTAGTTATAGTATATTCAGTATTATTATTATTTAAAGCCATTTCTTAATATCTGTTCCACTTTGTATTATCTTCATTTTGGGACTCTTTTTTTTTTTTTAGCGTACTGATAGGCAATTATTTGTGATCAATTAAATGAATCAGCATACCATATGTTGACAGTCCTAATTTAAAATGATGTCATCTGATTTATCAGACCTCCACGGTGATGACCCCAACCGGTCTTCACCCGAAGCAGCCTCATGACCTGAGTCTGGACTCCTACAGTCGCACCGTCTACTGGACCTGCGAGAGCACCAACACCATCAACATCCATCGCATGGACGGCCACGTTATCGGAGAGGTCCTGAAGGATGATGTGGACAAGCCACGTGCTATTGTGGTGAACGCTGAGAAAGGGTACGATTATTAATTAGCAGAATAAAGTATAGGGCATGATTATTACAACCTGCATTCAATTTAATTGCTCATCCAGTCCAAAACCTCAGGGCCAGATTTTATTTTTCAGCTTTGGTTTGGCTCCTTTTCATAAACATAACAACACCTTATCAATTGTTTATTGATATATGGCCGGCGGACTTGAAATTACAGCATAGAACTGGATACCCTAATGATGGCGCACTTCACCATTGCTTTTGTATTGTCGGAAAACTCGTGATTCCATCCAGGCCTCTCCAATAGCCAAATATGTGGAACAGATGGCCCTCTGTGGTCCCCGTGCTGCGGCGCTCGCTAGCGGCTCGACCATGCACAGGCGTTGGCTGCATGCACTGTAATTGTGTGTCCCATTGTTAGTGTGACCGTCATCAGTGGGTTTTCTATTTATGTCTCAACCTCGTCTTGGTGGGGTGGAGGGGACTTCTCCCATAATAGTGGCAGGATAGAAAAATAATGGCACAAAATTGAGTGTGTAATGTTTGTTTGTGTGTCTGAGATCAAGCTTGTGTTTTCACTGTTGCACTTATATTTAGTTGCACATTTTATCCCTAGATTGTTGTCTGAATAGAATTAGCGCTTTGTCATGCCTGTCAGTGTTTTAATTTTAGTTCACGGTTTAGTCATTTTATGTGCTTTTGTCAATTTTTTTAAGTATTTTTTTTGAATATTTCTATTTAGTTTTCATTTATTTTTAAGGGTACGTTTACATGACAGCGATATGCTAAAAACGGAAAAGTGTTTCCTTTGTGTTTTTCGCGTACAGACGACAGTGTTCGAACCCCCCCCCCCCCCCAAAACGCATTACAAGTTCGGTATCGTGTAAAGATTTAGTTATTTTAGTACTTCAACTTATTTCAGTTTAAAAGAGTAATATTTTTGTTTTAATATATAATTAAATATAAGTTATATGTTTATATATAGTTAAATCATATATAATTAAACAAGTTTTTAATCAAATTTATATTTTTATTTCAGCTAACGCTAACACTGGCCTGTTATGGTTTGTTTTGCGTTTTATATAATTTATAATCAACGTGGTGTTAAAGGCACAGATTAAAGAAATGTTTCGCTAATCGGTGGATCTGGATCCAAAATGCTGTCCAAACCAGATCAGATGACGACTCAGTGTAGTAAAATTAATGAATTCTTGTTTTACCTAGTTTTTCAGATCGTTCAGGATCAAAACATCATCAAAGATGTTAGCATAAGGTTTTGTTTAACATGCAGGTGGGAAATTTAATATGTGATATGCTACATTCCCCACACTGAAGTCAGGCTTTGGCAGATGTTTAGTGAGTGCATTACACTCCATAGTGCTCTGACTCAGGGAAGGCATCTTCAGATCCATCAGCCAAACCAATGTTGGGGTTTATTCATTTTTTCTGTCCCCTTCTTAGCATTGGAAATGTATCAAATAAAATGTATATCGCCCCCCAAACTTTTCCCAGAAGTAACTGTTTTTTTAAGCTGTCGATATCGATATCGCTGTTCAGTTTTTTTAAGCCGAACCAAATTGCTAACAGATGCAAATTGTGTTTCTCAGACAGCAACTGAAAACAAAGGAGAAAACGCACCTTTGAGAGTTATCACAAACTAGTCTAGACATAACATTAGGGCTAAAGGGCTTTTGTGATGTGTGAAGATATACAATTCTCCCACACAGTCAAAACAGCATGGCCCCATCAAAGTTGTTCTTTCTGTTCAACAAATGAGTGTTTATCCAACCTTACAGATCATATGTTGGTTATTTAATGCAATAACATAAATAACTACTAACACTTTTATTAGATGTTGAAACATCTTGAAAGATGTTGTTTATAGAATCCAATTAAAATCACTTTGCCTTTACTACATTTTACTTTATTTGGAAAATTGTATGTAACTTCCAAACCCTTTTTTTTCCACAGCTACATGTATTTCACTACTGTCCAGGATCGTTCGGCTAAAATCGAAGGTGCGTCTTTGGATGGGACGGAGCGTGAATCCCTCTTCACGACCGGTTTGATCCGCCCCGTGGCACTGGCTTTGGACAACAAGCTGGGCAAGCTGTTCTGGGTGGATGCAGACCTGAAACGGATTGAGAGCAGTGACCTGTCTGGTAAATACATTTTGGCTTGCATTTCAAATATTATGTCAAACTGAATTTTGAACAGTTATCTAATTCAATTAATAAAATAATAATATAAAACATATATATATATATATATATATATATTTATTATTATTATTATTATTATTATATATTTTTTTATTTTTTTAAATATATGAATCCAAAAGTCCACAAGTGAAAATGCTTCTGTTTTGCTTTTTTTTTCTGATTTAAAACAATTATATTAATTTTTATATATGTAAGTAGGGAAGCACTGATATAACAAATCTGGCCAATAGTGATAAGCCATTAATTATTTTGTTATGCCCAATATTAAAATATCTACACTATTTTATCAGAATATTTTTTTATAAGCTAATTACTGTAAATGTCCAATATCAGCCAATACAATAAATAGAAAAAAAATCACTAAAATCAGCCAATAAACTGTTGTAATAATCAGTGTTGTTATTGGTAACTAAATCTAGAACTATTAAAATATTAAATTAAAGCTGAAATTAAATCACATAAAAAAAGGTTTAAGGTTAAGTACTTCAATTTAATTAAACTAAAATTGAACTAAATATAGCTAATATATAAATAGCTAAATATTTTAGAATAATAAAAAAGGGAAAAAATAAACATGGATATAAAAATAAAATAAAAGCCAATTCAAAATATAAAAAATAATAGCACATAATTAATACTAAATTAACTATTTATTGTGCCTAATTATCAGTATTTGAGTGAAAGTTGTGTTTTGTACAATTATAAAAAATAAAAAAAAACATTGTGTTGGTCGTAATATTGTACCAAATGTCATGATTTCAGAAATGAAATTGACGGATACAAAAAATGAAATGTTCCCATACAACTCAATGTTAGTCATTTATTTTGAAGATCAATTTTGATGTCAGAGCTTTGCCAGAAAGATTAGGTCTTTTTTTCCTTCACCACGTAATCATGTCACTGAATCTCACGCTCAGAATGTTTTTGTTTCCTGTCTTGTATTGCATCGCCCGCGGGCAAATTGATTGCGATCAGTTCTGAAGTGTTTTGGATTCTGGAACACCATGTGAAATAAGGACAGCTTTCTGACCTCTCCAATCAGATTTGATCCTCTAAACATGTCAAATGACAGCTACGGAAACCAAACAAATACAGACAGAGAGCACAGACCAGCTTCAATCTAGATTTACGCTGTATATGTTCAATACCGCCTAGTCTAAACTAATCAAAACAGTATAGTCTGTGTTGTCTAAACATGGTCTATACATTGACAAAACTCTAATGAAGAATTTGATGGACTGTAACATAGTTCATTCTTCTGAGGTTATTTAAGTGCCTTTGTCACCGAAAATCACTAACTTGTCTGATTTCTCTTACTTATTTCCAATGAGCTGCCAGTAAGCAAAGTCTCTCCAGATGCTGAGCTCTGATGTTTGATGTTAGCATGAGACAGATGATCACACCTTAAGCCACGGCTAATCTCCTTGCGCAACAGAATCCCTCTGCAGCCAAATGACCAACACAAAAGCTGAATAGATATGATTTATAGCGTGACACAGAGAAAAACCTGAATTATGACTCTGTGGATCTCTTTGTTTGCTTCACAGGGGCCAATCGGATCGTTCTTCAGGACTCCAACATCCTTCAGCCTGTCGGTCTGACAGTGCTGGGAGATCACCTGTACTGGATCGACAAACAGCAGCAGATGATCGAGCGTGTGGACAAGCTGACCGGAGAGAAGAGGACCCGCATTCAGGGGCGACTCCAGTACCTGACCAGCATCCATGCGGTGGAGTACATGGAACCAGAGGAGTTTGGTAAATTCACAGTTTCTTATATTTCTTTAAGACTAAATCATTAGCTTTGTTCCAAAACCTTGTGAGCTATGTGCATAATATAATTAAATATAATGATTTATGGTGTACAGAATATAAGATTAATTTAATTTAATGATCTACGGTACTATAGTATACAAATATAAAGATATTATAAATTTAAAGAATACAATTTGGCATATTATTTACTTACTAACATATATATAAAAATGTAAAGATATTTTGAAAATATTAATTACATTTAAGGAGGACTAATTCAAATGAATGTACCTAGCATATTATTCTATTAATAGAAAATCTATTATAAAATCTATTATAATTACTTGTATAAATTAATATTTTAATTTCATATTTATATAATTAAAATATTAATTATTTAAGAATGCTGTATTAATATTAAAGTATTTATCATATACATATATACGCACATATGCCAGCAAAACGTGTGTGTGTGTGTGTGTAAGTAATTGTTTTAACCTGCATTTCACCTTATTTGAGTGGCAAAAATCATATGTTGGCAAAAATCAGTATAATTATGTAGTTAATGTCGACATGGCTTCAGAGTTCCTATTATTAAAGAGTATAATTTGTCCTTTAATCTCCTTAACAGCATCCCACCCTTGTTCCCGTGATAACGGAGGCTGCTCCCACATCTGCATCGCTAAGGGCGACGGGACGCCACGCTGCTCTTGTCCCATGCACCTGGTGCTGCTTCAAAATCTACTCAGCTGTGGAGGTACATTAGACATATATATATATATATATATATATATATATACACACATATCTGTGGCATGAAACAAAAATGCACTAATCGGTTTTTATGCATCTGCACTAATCGCATTTTTACCCACAACCTCCATCAGAGCCTCCCACGTGCTCTAGCGAGCAGTTCACCTGTGCTACTGGTGAGATCGACTGCATCCCTATGGCGTGGCGCTGCGACGGCATCGCCGAGTGCGCAGACCACAGCGATGAGATGAACTGCCCCATCTGCTCCGAACTCCAGTTCCAGTGCGACAAAGGCCAGTGCGTGGACTCTCAGCTGCGCTGCAACGGAGAGCCAGACTGCGCAGACGGCTCTGATGAACTGGATTGCGACAGTACGTTCAACTTTTTCGCAGCAAAAGAGCAAGACAAGCAGTTCTCCTTTTCAAAAGGATGTGCAAATACAATTTAACTTGCCTTTTGAATTACTTTCATAGTTTCAAATTAAATCAGCCGATATAAATCAATAGTTTGCTGTGTGAATCGGTACAATTATTCTGAAACAACTCACCAGTCAGTCAGACAAATCACTGAATCATCACTGGAGAGGTTCAAATGATTCACTTTCATTTAATTGAGTCATTTAATGAACAGCAATTTTTTAATGTCCAACTCGACTTGGGTTGAAAACCATGATAGGCCAGGTTTCACAGGAAGGGCTTAGATTAAGCCAGGATTAGGCCTTTTTTTCAATTAGGACATTTAAGTAGCTTTTATAAATGTGCCTTATAAAAACATTGCTGATGTGCATCTTGAGACAAAACATTGACACTGACATATTTTAAGGTATGTCGTTTCAAGTTGCTTTCAGTTAAAACAGCTCAAACGTGCATTCTAGTCTGGAACTAGGCTTAAGCCTTGTCTGTAAATCCGGGGGATAGTGTTGTGTATCTCTTGAAAAAAAACTTAAATAACTGACTTGTTCATGTGACAATGTATAGTTAAAGTTACACATCCACAACTGAGTTTTAGACTTCTGTTACAAATTCCTATAGGAAACACTGATTTGTTCCATTCATACATTTATGCTGCCCCCCCTTTTTTTTTTATTATTACACTGAAGCTGTTTTAATCGGCAGTTTCTGATCTGTCCTTTCCCTTTTTTCCCATCAGCCATTTGTATGCCTAATCAGTTCCGTTGTGGCAACAACCAGTGTATCCTGAAGAAACAGCAGTGTGACTCCTTCGCAGACTGCACAGACAAATCTGATGAGCTTTTCTGTGGTACGTTGACCATATCACACCAAAAAAAGCATATGGTGTTTGACCATGAATGCCATAACTTGTTGATTGTAACGATGCTTGCAAGATGAAAACATCCGTTTGGCTTATTCGCAGATTTCCCTCCGCCCCCCAACGACCTTCCGCGTCACACCAGCACCATCGGCCCCGTCATCGGCATCATCCTCTCTGTCTTTGTGATGGGAGGCATGTGTTTTGTGTGTCAGAGAGTCGTGTGTCGCCATTACAAGGGCCCCAATGGAGGCTTTCCACACGAGTACATCAGCGGGACCCCACACGTGCCCCTCAACTTTATCGCACCCACAAACTCACAGCACGGTACTTTTACAGGTAAAGGTCTGCTGTTTGATAGCTGCTGTGGTCTCTTAAGGTGAATCATTTCTCTGCCTGTGATGAGTCTTGTGGGTGATGTGTCTGTCTCGCTGTGGCACAGGTATTTCCTGTGGGAAGTCCATGATGAGTTCAGTGAGTCTCATGGGCAGCAGCAGCAGTGGGGCGCCTCTCTACGACAGAAACCATGTGACAGGAGCTTCATCCAGTAGCTCTTCCAGCACAAAAGGAGCTTTCTATCCGCAGGTACTGTAATATTCATCAGTTTATTTTCTCTGTTTATTGTTTATAAGAAAGGACCAGTGTTTATTTATTTAATTCCATCTAGGAAAAAAGGGTTTTATATTTTAAATTAAATGCTCATTTACATATTTTATATTGTCTGGTTTATTGTTGTTAATGCCATATAATGGATTTTTTTTTTCCTGATCTGTGTGTAGATGCTCAACCCTCCTCCATCACCAGCAACAGATCGCTCCCTTTACAACGCAGAAGTCTTCTATTCGTCCAACAGCCCTTCCACAACCAGGTCTTACAGGTGGGATTTAGTACAGAGATCCTGGATGGGTGGATGGATGGGTGGATGGATGGATGGATGGATGGGTGGATGGATGGGTGGATGGATGGATGGGTGGATGGATGGGTGGATGGATGGGTGGATGGATGGATGGGTGGATGGGTGGATGGATGGGTGGATGGATGGGTGGATGTATGAGTGGATGGATGGGTGGATGGGTGGATGGATGGATGGGTGGATGGGTGGATGGATGGGTGGATGGATGGGTGGATGGATGAGTGGATGGATGGGTGGATGTATGGGTGGATGGATGGGTGGATGTATGAGTGGATGAGTAGATGTATGAGTGGATGAGTAGATGTATGGGTGGATGGATGGGTGGATGTATGAGTGGATGAGTAGATGTATGAGTGCATGAGTAGATGTATGAGTGGATGAGTAGATGTATGATTGGATGAGTAGTAGGGGTGGCACGGTTCACTAAACCCACGGTTCGGTTTGTATCACGGTTTTAGGGTCACGGTTTTCGGTTCTCTACGGTTCTTGTTGTTATTTTTTTTTAATCTTTAATACTCCAGAAATGTACTTCAGCATATGATATATAGCTTAATTATCCACAATTTAGGATACAGTATTAAAAAAAAATGTTATATCATGCACAAACTGAATTTGACTTGACTTTAAGCACATTATTGGGACCATCTCCGAGGAAAGCTAGGTGAGATGTTGATACAGCAAGAGAGAAGACATTGATGACATGCTTTTCGTTTATTTGGCAAAAAAAGGAGAATGTGTATCACTATCACTACAGGAACTTATGTGCATTTTTAGCACACAAAGATTGAAATTAACTTGCATTTATCAAACTGCCAACTTAAGTGTAGAGAGGAACTCTTAAAACTCTGTCTTTTAAATAAGTCAAAATACATGAAACATAATTTACTATAATTAGGCTATAGCAATAGCAAAGGCCATAATCATAAAGTGAAACATAAGTTCAACCTCAACACAAAAACAGTATCAACAATGCTTCTATTCCCTGAGAGTGAGGATACATTTTTTTCAATCCAAAATGTTCCCACACACCGGACTTATACGACGCTGGCGCATCCTCGTTAGCCTTCCTTATCTCTCCCACTTGCCACTTCTCCGCGTGCCGTGACCTGACACTCCATACTCCACCTTTACTGGCTTGTTCGACTTGAACCGGCGCTGCACAGAGCGATCAGTTTATGACATCAAAGTACCGCGAGAGTGATTGAAAAGCATACGGAGCCGTCGCTCTCGCGGTACTTTAATGTCATTCACCGATCGCTCTGTGCAGCGCCGGTTCAAGTCGAACAAGCCTCATATGTAGGGGCTACATTGCGCATGCGTCGAACCGTGAGACGCACACACACTCCGAACCGAAACAAGCGAACCGAACGGTTCGGGTGTTTTTTCATGTACCGTACCACTCCTAATGAGTAGATGTATGATTGGATGAGTAGATGTATGATTGGATGAGTAGATGTATGATTGGATGAGTAGATGTATGATTGGATGAGTAGATGTATGATTGGATGAGTAGATGTATGATTGGATGAGTAGATGTATGATTGGATGAGTAGATGTATGATTGGATGAGTAGATGTATGAGTGGATGAGTAGATGTATGAGTGGATGAGTAGATGTATGAGTGGATGAGTAGATGTATGATTGGGTGAGTAGATGTATGAGTGGATGAGTAGATGTATGATTGGATGAGTAGATGGATGGATAGATGAGTGAGTGAATGGATGGATAGATGAGTGAGTGAATGGATGGATAGATGAGTGAGTGAATGGATGGATAGATGAGTGAATGGATGGATGAGTAGATATGTAGATGGATGGATAGATGAGTAGATTGATGAATGGATGACTAGATAGATAGATAGATAGAAGGATGGCTGAATATATGACTGTGCTGATGGATACATAGCTTAAATGTCTCAAGTTACTGATCTGTGAATCTTTCCCCTTGACAGGCCATATTTGAAGCGAGGGGTCGCGCCCCCCACCACACCCTGCAGCACAGACGTGTGTGACAGTGACTACACCACCAGCCGCTGGAAAAGCAATAAGTACTACATGGACCTCAATTCAGACTCTGACCCCTACCCTCCGCCCCCCACGCCCCGCACGCCCCGCAGCCAGTACATGTCAGCGGAGGAGAGCTGCCCTCCCTCGCCCTCCACTGAGCGCAGCTACTTCCACCTGTGCCCCCCGCCCCCCTCGCCCTGCACAGACTCCTCATGACACCCAGCAAACCGCCACGCTCTGTACATAGTTTTAAATAGTTAAAGAAGAAACAAAGATTTTATTTTATTTTCCACGCGCTTTGTTCAAGAAACATTTCAGCTTTTCGGAAGGAGCAGGAAACATTTTCTGGAGATTTTCACCCAGAGTTACACGAACAGCGGTCGTGACAGGACGAGGCTTGCACGAGTTAATTATATTATGACATAATATATCATTATCATTCATTACCCCCCCCCCCCCCCCCATCACTACAAGATCTTCAATATGTAAGAATATGAACTGAAATGCAACCGTGTCACTATTTCAGGATGGTTATGATTTAATCATCTTTTTTTTATTTTTTTTTATACCAATTATAAAGCAGTTTAATTGCAAACCAAATCGTCGATATAACACCAAAATCATCCGCTGCAGAGGAGTTGTACATATGTGTAATTAAGTAAATAATGAATGTTTTTCGTAATGGCAATGAGGTGTTGTTTTGATTATGTTCTATGTAAATATGTTACTATTCCAAGCATATGTTTGGTTTGTCCTGTTTACCAAAAGTGTGTTTGCTGCTATTGTACATAAATCTTTTACTGTAAATAATGACAAATGAAAACAGCCAGCTGAAATGTTTTGTTTATATAATGAGAACTGACCATAGACCATTGTAAAATTGTTATTAATCTCTTATAGAAAAACATACATGTGAAATGCCATTGCTTTGAAGGAGTCTTGTTTAAAAGTCTTGTCATAAAGGGATAGTTCAACTAAAAATCTTGTCATTCCAAACCTGTATGACATATTTTCCCCTGTGAAACATTAAAGACGATGTTTATCAGAATGTCCAAGCTGCTCTTTTCCATAATGAAAGTGGATGGGGACCAAAAAGTACCGTAAAAGCATAATAACAGTAGTCTACAAGCCTTAAAGCCAAACGATAGCTTTGTGAAATTATTCACTATCTTTCTTGGCAACCGTGGTCACCATTCACTTTCATTATATGAAAAAGAGCAGCTTGGACATTCTGATAAACATCTCAATTTGTTTTCTACAAAAGAAGGAAAGTCTTAAGGGTTTGCGACAGCATGAGGGTGAGTAAATGATGACAACATGTTCATATTTTAGTGAACTATCCCTTTAAAGAAGCGGAAAGTCACCTGCTTTGTAGTGAACTACATGGATTTTATCAGATCTTATGGACTGAACTCATTGCAGGTGTTTAGTAAAAAACTAAAAAATAATAATTATAGTAATAATAATAATACAACAGTAAAACTAAGCTATGATTTGAACACAAGGATATGTGGTTAATTTTACTGTAATATTATGGTAACAAACTGCTTTTTTTAATTCATGACATGCGATTTTCCGATTACCCCCCTCCCCTTTTATGGTAAAGTTGAAGAATCAAACTGTATTTCCCTCTCTATAATGCTAATTCGATGGAGATAAAGTTTTTTAGGTTAAAACGTCTTGTATCACACATTGAAATGCCTTGTATGTGTGTTTAAAATGTACTTTCTTTCTCTTTGCCAAATTGAGCACTTATGGAAATTACATGTGCATAACTAGAATTCTAGATCTAGAAAAAACTACAAGATTAAATGAGTTTCACAGACTGATTACATTAGTTGCTTTTACAGATAGCCATACAAAAAAACATATAGCAATGTCTTTTAAGGCAAATATTAGATGAAAGGAAATAGTCATTCTAGAAAACTCAGCAAAGACCAGTTTAACAGGTGATAAAAATTATTTTCCAGAGTTATGGATCTCATTAAATTGCCCTCAAGGTAACACTATTCACCGTGAATGTGACTGAATGGAGATTATTAGGATTTTTGTACCACTTTGGCAGGTCAGCGCTTTGACTGAATCTGTCTAAATCGTACCATCCACTCTCGCCGAGGAGCTTTTTGCTCTTTGGTGCACCACCAATGTCTTTGTTTTGTGTACAAAAATGCCTCATATAATGCACACTTGTGACAATTTTTGTATCAAAAGCATTTTTATATATAATAAAGGTTCTATTTTAAGAAATGCAATATTGTCTTCTTTAACATGGTGATTGTTAATGCAGTATTATAAGCTGTAAAAAAACAAAAGTTGCTGCCTTAAATTTTTTAACTGCAATCAACTTGGATGTTTAAGTCATTTTAACTTAAATTACATTAAACTGACTTTTTTTTAAAAATGAGTTGAATCTTGTATAACATAAAAAAAATAAAAATTGCTTAACTTATTTTGATGAGATAAAGCAGTGCTCTAAAGCATATGTTGTTATAACATTGATCCTATAACATTTTACAGTGTATGAACTCATATTTACATATACTGTGTAAAGAAACATATAACTTGCTAATTCAGCTGTGTGTGAAAAAATGCCTCAAATCATGTGGCTTGTTAAAGGCAGATGTGCTTTCATTGCTCTTAAGTGATCTGAAAGGCAAAAAAATCCCTTAGATTTACAGTGAACAAGGAGCCCGAGGCTTCAATAGGGCAAATGTTAACTGAATTTAGCACGGTGTGTCTCACTCCAGTGGTAAACCAACAAACATGACCAAGAATGCAGAAACACTTTGGGTTACTCCAAACAGAGCTTTATGAAATGTTGTTGTTGAATGTGACATTGCTGTAGTGGAATTGCGTGTTAAGGTAATAAAACAAATCTGTGTTTGATGATCATTGCCAGTGGTTCGGGATTTAAGCCATTTTGTCTTCTGCTGCCCTCATGTGGGTAAAAAATACAAAAAATACAAATGAGGTTGGAATGGCCCTCTTCCCCTCTCATATTTATATTAATATCTTATTCCTATTTGGAAAGGCTTAAATATTTTTTCTTTAGTTTTTAGTCTTTAGATAATCTTCATCATATATATATATATATATATATATATATATATATATATATATATATATATATATATATGTAAAAGAAGCCTATTTTTCCTGTCATACAGAAATTAGTTATTTTTTTCAGGACATTTAAAAAATACTATATATTTGTATATACATTTTGGGGGGGGGTGGGGGATATTACCTGTATTAGTACCATTCTCTTGAAAGACATTTGCCCTTACATTATTATTATTTTTGAATAAATGTTTTTAATGTTTCCATCAGTTTATGAATGTATTACAAATGTCGCTTCACAAAGGCTATACAAAAATGAGGTCAAATGCTACTTTACAGCAGTTGGGAACTACATGTACATTCCCCTTTCTCATTTGTCATCTTAAAGGACTGTCTTCAGCACTTGACAGAAGTGAACACATGTTGTGAGGCTCCTGACTGGGCTGGAGGGGGTGGGGAGATGTCGACACCCCTCCATGTACCCATCTGTCTGTCTTTGTTTATGATCCGTGTAGTAGAGGAGTTAAAAACACGCCTTGGAAAAAAGGCACATGAGAACACGTTTATACATGTCAGGAGGGAAAGAACCCCCGGCATCCTGGATCTCCTGATTATACATTTAAAAACAAAATTGTGTAGCAGGCCACGTTTTGCCGGTTTTGTCAACCACCCATGCCTGGTTTTATATATATATATATGTATATATTCGTTTTATTTATTTAAATATATATATTTTTATTAGTCAGCAATCAGGCAAAGCAAACTTTCTTTAGGTCTTAAAATTTTTGGAGCCAGTGTTGTTATTCTTAACTAAAACTATTAAAATGTGTTAAATTCCACTAAAATAAAAAAAATCATAAAATAGTATATAAAATATGAAATAAGATTAAAATAAAATAAAAAACTTAGAAAATGAACGTAGAAATATTTTTGCCTTGGCGACAAATTGAAATAAAATAACACCGATTGGAGCCCAATATGTATAAGCATGCAAACTAATCTGTGATTAATAACCCCAATTATATAATTGTCCCCAAGATTATCATTCTCTAGGCAATTCTTGTGCAGAGCTTCAAGTTTCCTTCCTTTGAGTGTTGTTATTCTGAGAGGAGACAGTACATTCAGAAGATATATGAAGAGAACAAAATACCTGACCAGACTGCATGTGTAATCGTGATAACTGCCTCTGTCTGATGAAAGATGGCATAGAAACATCTTTCTCACAGCTCCAAAAGCCCACAGTGCTTCTTAACATTCATTTTACACAACTTTCATGACATGATCTTTGATTAGTAGAGGCAGGATTTTGTTAGACAATCATATACACATGTTTGAGTACACATGCTTCAGTAAATTCATGGTTTTTATCATAAAAACCCACGTCAGCTCATGGCAGTCCGTAATCGGAAACACAGTGCAATCATAGGGTTAATTTGACACATGTGAAACACATTAAATATGGCTGCTTTTACTCTATACAATGAATCCATTGCAGATTTTGTTTTGATTATGGAACATGCAACAGAAGATAGATCTTGCATGTCTGAAATACAGCCATCATCAGCTGTAACAGATCAGTTCCACAGCCTGATGCTGTAGATTTATGCCTCACATTTAACATAAGGGTCATACGTCAGATCCTATTTTCCATGCTACACTAAACCCGTAATTGCCTGTCTGCACTATGGACAGGCTATAGAGCATAAAAATGGGGGGCTGACCTTTTGACCCATATTTTATCAAAGGGCGCAAGAAATAGAAACATAAAAACATAAAAAATACATAAAAACAAAAGAAAGATAGATAGATCAGGTTCTCTTAAAGGGATAGTTCAATTCACCTGGAAATAATCATTCTCTATTCATTCATTCATTCATTCATTCGTTTGTTTGTTTTTGCGTGAACTATATCTTAAAAACACGCTTATTTTATACTATATGGGTTGGTGTGAATTAAACTCCTGTTTTATGTAATCAATTTCATGTTGGTGAGACATTTGAAATAATGCTTTTCTGGCAAATAATTTCAATCTGGCTGCTCCATTCAGTAATATGTGGTTCACGCACTCGTAGCTGATTGGACCATCTGCATGTCAATCACCGTGACGTCTTATTGTTGCTAGGGCGTTGCAAGTAACGAGCCGGTTAAGGCAGAAAGCGACACTGTGAACGAGGTGCTCTGTGTAACATTGTGAAGAAACTACAAACCCGTCGTCTTTATGTTTTGGATATGATGAAATGTAAGAACTCAGTTCAAGGGACAAGCTCTCATAAAGAAGGTAAGATAAAGCAATATGTGCGTTTTGATATCACCGTACTTTAGTTTTGAAATCGGCACTTGATTGGCATTCTCTTGATC